GGGGGGGGGGGGGGGGGGGGGGGGGGGGGGGGGGGGGGGGGGATCAACAGAAGCAACACACGGCGTCGACAAAAAAAGTCGCTGCGCGGGAGACAACGCTGCAACAGGTGCATGGCGAGAACTTGACAAGAGCGAGCACACTCGTCGAAACCAACACATTTGCTGCCGTATCTGCTACCACGTCAGTATACAAACCTTCCACGGGCTTATAGCATTGATTGGTCCCAGCCGTGCAATTGAGCATGTACTCGGGGCTCAACAGCTCCGAATCGTCGGTCAAAAAAACCTAGGGCGCGCAAGCTTCCTAGTGCACGATAGACCACTGCATTCGCGGACCCCGATAGACCGGCGACGCGGCAACAGGCGAAGGAGGTCGTGTGCATCGTCAACGGGTGGTGCTACCGCACCGGGAATCGGAAGCCTCGCCAAGACATTACCAAGACATTCCTCTCGAGTAAGAGATGAGAACCGGGAGACTGCTTCTCGGCGTTCGAGTGTGGAACAGAAAGAAATCACTGAAGCCACAAACAAGACACGAAGAAACGAAAAACAAAACAGGACTACTTCCGCTCTCAGCGTCGTCGCATGGCTCCAACACCTCCTCCTACGGAAGCTCGAGGCTTCGCTTCGCTTCTACCCAGAGCACACGCGATATGGTCCGGTTCCGGCTGCGGCGAGGAAGGAGGCGGCAAGTCTCACCTGACGGGGTTAAGCCGTGCCTTCGTGACGACGGTGCCCTTGAGGGCCATCGGCAAGCCCGGAAGCAGCCCCACCTTGAGATCAATCTCCGACACCTGGAAGAGCCATGAAACGAAGTTTACGTTCGAAACACGTATAGCCATGATTGATTGCACCGCAGCTCCTGAAAGTGGGTTGAAACACCCGATTCACCAGCACCTACGGTGTGCAATACACAGAACGCGCCAACACTTGAACACCGCTTACGTTTAGACCTAGGCTCGTTTCTTCTTGTCCCTGTGGGGTGACCCAACATCGACTATCATGGTTTTCGTGAACATGTAGGCTTCTTGACTGAGTACCTGTTCTTTGCCAAGTTGTTGAAGTTGTGCTTGAATCTGAATTTCTTCAATCTCAAGTTCGTAAGCGGGTGGGCGCTTTGTCGACCAACGAAAGAAAAATGGACCGCCCACCCCCCTCCCTCCTTCCCTCCCTCACTCCTTCGGACGCTTCTTGTACGCTTCTGGGGCTTTGGTGACGAAAAAGACAGAGGACACCCTCCCTCGCACCCCTCTTCCTCTCAAAAAGGGGGGAGAAAAAAACTGGAAATACGTCGCAAAATAATATGGTAACGCCGTATGGCAGCTCCCACAATAAGGAAGTACTCCTCGACACGGGGCAGGGGTGCGTTGGCATTCCATGTCGAAACAAAACGGATGCGTGGTCAAATTTTTTAGTCGCCTCACGATCACACACGACAGGACGCACCCCCAGTTATATATCCTCCTCCGCCCGCTCCACCCCCTCTTGCTGACAAAACCCACGTTTTCTTTCTTGCCAGATCACCGTTGTAGGTGCTGAGAAGCACGATGACCACTGGGCTACCAGTCAGAGGGCCTCTGATAGTGTGCCCAGGGGTCATCGTGTTTCTCAACAAAACGCAATGTCGGAGTCCGTCTAGCCGTACTCCGCTCTCACCAGCATAGACTCGCTGATGGTCTGCCTGACCCTGCCGATCTCCCCGTTTGAAGTTGCGGCTCGGTGCAGCGAGAACAAAGTCTCCGCTTGGCCCTTTTCTTCGCCGAACACCTCCCCCAGGGCCATGAAAAAGGGGGAACAACGGAATGGTTGCGTGTCCGTGTACACCAGCTCCCACGCCCCTCCTACCCCCCCCCCCCCCCCCCCCCCCCCCCCCCCCCCCCCCCCCCCCCCCCCCCC